TGTTCTAAAAATTTGCCTCGGCTGGTTCTCGGCGATGTTCGTTGCTCTCCGCTACTTACACATTCTGTGCCATGCATTGGACTTCCAAAGCAAGTCGATTGGTTACGAGTTTCCTTGTGCCCAAGTCTATTCAGCGAAAGTGGACAGCTGGATCAGCAAAAGATATTTTGCTGCCACGAAAAAACCTTTTGCTGTCCCAGCAAAATCATATAGCTGCCGCGACAAAAATTTTTTGCTCCCACAGCAAAATAATTTTGCCGTGGCAGCAAAATATCTTTTGCTGATCCAGCTAGCCAATTTCGCTGGATTTGGGTATAAAATTTTTTTCAGTGTAAATTTCATTTTTCATATTGTCAACAAAAACAGTACGCTTTTAAATCGCTTGCCTGTAAACCCACACCACTCCACATGCTTGTAATACTTTTCGACGCAATAGTCACCATCATTATCGACGAGATACTCAGAAAGTATGGAATTATTCAACTGAGAATGGTTCATTACTTTGGTAGGATAAAAGTATAAGATTAGAGTACACCACAGTAACGAAAAACGTGCATCACTATAAAAAATGAACAGCGACCGACGCAAGAAAAGCTCAGAGACATTAAAAAAGCTCGAAATTATGAGGAAGCACTACAATCAACTTCACGATGTTTCACCTATTCGCAATAAAACTCGGCACCAATCAATCAATCTCAGCTCTCCCCTTCAATCTCTGCACGTCGTCGTCTTGACGAAATAAATATAATCGCGCACCGCAAGTACCGCACAATCAACGGCGGTCTAAAACACGTTGCCGCTGCTGCTGCTGTTGCTCTTGTAATCGTCGAGTCTCCATGTGCCCTTCCATTATCAACGTCAGTGTCATAGCTCGCGGTTGGCCTCCTCCTCCTCCCTCTCCTCCCTTTTATCGTTATCGTCGGCGCGCTTGTGTGCGCGCGTGGGAGGGATTATAAGCGTTACGCGATTGTCTTTGGAATCCCGTCGTTATGTTGTGTGGTACAGGTTACACCATCAACGCACGGGCTGCGGCTGCTGGAATTTTCACCGGGGAAAACAACAACAGCAGCAGCGGCAACGACAAGATTGGGCGACTATGTGCTGCATTTCGCGCAACGCGTGTTATTTTATATAATCCGAAACACAGCGCAGCGTGTTTTACCTGAGATTTTCGATGCTTCGTTGGTGCGGAGAATCGTATTATTCACAGCACAGTGTTGTAGTGCTGCTTTAGCTCGAACCGACGCACATAATGAAATTCTGGAAGAGTAGGTTTATACCCAAACCGTGTAGTATTTCAATAGTTTTATTTCAAAACCTTGCTATTACTTATACAATTCTTTTTACTTCGTCACTTGCAGATTAACAGATAAAGGTACTCGCCATCTAGTGGCGAAGGCTTGAAATAATTATAATCGAAATTTCATAATTCGTTTTTTACAATTAACGCAATTATTAAATCGGTCTTAAAAAGTTTATTCCAATCACAATGTTTAAATTTGAGTTTAGCTTTAAATACATTCTCATTTTTTTACACTGACAATAAAGCATATACTTACATTACATAAATTTTTTGTTCAGTTTATGTAAAAAAAATAAACAGTACTAGTACATTAATTCTTAACGAAGATTTCATGTAAAAGAAACTCATATACAGGATAGATTAGCTTTAATTTTAATATCTGATTTTACAGTTAATCTGTATTAAATTTAAAATTTTTTGCGAAACACTGTAACTGTGACATTTTTCGTGCGAGTTTCCTATGCAAACGCTCAATTCGTGGAAGAGCCCATCTACTCCAACGATATGAGCTAAAATTTCCAGCCGAATTTTAATTACGTGTGAATAGGACGGTGCTGCGCCGATATATAGTCACGTTTGAATGTATAAACGTATGCAATGTCTATGTACAATTGAAATAGAGAAAATGACCTTATCAGCTCGGTACGAAAGGCAGAAAACGTGCTCGTGAAATTCCCATTTTATATATATACGCTTGCATAAACTATATACATCGCGATCAGCGCACGCGCGCGAGCAGCAAGTGCAGCAAAGCAATTACCCTTATCCTTCCGAGCTGTCCATCTTTCACAAAAATTAATCCTAGGGAAATCCAACCATTCGAATTCAGTCTAGCGTGTAAAACATTTCAAATATTTCTCTGTGCACTTTTTCTTTTCTCTCTTCTTTTTTTATGCTGGCGTTGTGCAGCGTTGCTCGCTTAAAAAGGTAAAAGAGCCTTGATTAAAGAAGTGACAGTCGAAATTAAACAATAAGACGAGCCGATGATGAGAAAAAAAAGAAGAAGCGTCTCTCGCGTATATCTATACGTATGCACGAGCTCGCCGAAAGAAAAGAAACTGCTTGAATGTACACCGATTCTTTTTCTCTCTCTCTCAATTTCTCTTTCCCATTTATGTTTGCTCATCCTCGTCTCGCAGGCTCTTCTCTCTGCAGTCAATCAATACACACCACTGGAGCCAATTAGCACTCACGTATGCATATAGGTACATTGTTACCACCTCTCGCGCGTGCACCCGCACGTACACCCGCGACTCTATATACTTGCAGCATACATGTGTGTGTGCGCATACGAAGAGACGAGACGGAAAAAAGACCGAGTGATGTAGCTACTGTGCAGCAGCACAAAGTGAGAGAGAGAGAAACGGATTTGGTAGCTCTCACACTGGAGACTATATACAGTGCTGTGTATATATACTGTATATAACGCCGGATGCAGCTCATGCAAACTCATTAGTTTCGCAGAAGTGTACATTTTTTCACTTTTGGTCTGCTCGATTCTCTTGTATAATCCGCTTGTTTCGCGCGCGCAAGAGAAAAGCGAGACAGCAACGCGGCACACGGCTGCTGTAAATAATTACCCGCATAGGTTAACGATTTTTTTCCTTCTCTTGCTCTTTCTCTCTCCTCCTGTTTATAAATTTGCACTAGCGAATCCAGAGAAAGATTGGAAAATTTTGCTTATAGGGAAATTTTCATTAGCGCCTCTGGTATTTCGCCCGTTGTTGTATCTCACCTTCCCACAGGAGCTGGAGCTATGGAGCTATGGAGCTAGAGCAGCAGCAGTAACAGTGTGCATGATAATAACCTCGCGGCTTTTCCAATACATATAATGTGCAACGACGACGACGCCGCCGCGAGCTCGTCGTGCACAAAAGGTAAGCGCAGCGGCGAGGCACGCGATAGGACAATAGCCGCGGCGAAAAGCTGCAGAGCCACGTGATCGCGAGCTCGACGCTTTTCGAGGAAACAATCGCGCGAGGAGTTTACGACGCGCCTGCTTTTTTTTCTCTCTCTCGGTTCCTCTATTTACGGCATGCGCGCGGAAAGTATTAGGATCCGTTGCGTGCGCGCGAGAATGGGAAGATGAATAAACCAGAGAGAGAGAAACTTTTGCACGCCTGCACGAAACGTACGACTGCGTACTACGAGTTGTGCAACGTTGATGAAGCATGAATTATAGAAACCAAGCTGCACTTTTATTTCTATTATTATAATATAAAAAAGTGAAGTTGCGATAATTTCGCTGTTTACTCGAGAACAAAGCAAAGAGCTAGAAAAAAATCAGGCAGACTCATTGCGAGCTTTCAGCATGAGCGCAAACACCGACACAAACACACACGTACGGACACGATAAGCAGAAAGCGAAATCTGCACCCCCTCGTTAAAAGCTCCGACTGCAGTATAACCTCTCGGCAACGCTGCATACATATATATTTCCGCGGCGCAGCAACAGCAGCATCGGGATAAATTTACCAGGTGATTTGTCCTGTGCAGTTCGCGCGCGCGCGGCAACGAGTTAACGAGTAAAAGCGAGCGAGAGATGCGATAAAGGTTTTGCGAACCGGCCTTGATTGACGGTTTTAGCGGGGGGGTTGGGTTGTATATACCGCGGGATACGACGAGATCGCTTAGACTGACGTTTGCTCTCTGTGTCTCGCTCACACTCGGCGATCACCCTCTTATTTTCTTCGACGCGACGATTAGGCAGTTTTTTCCTTTTTTTTGTTATTTTTTCTATTTTTTTGTCTGTAGCCGCATATTTTTGCGCTCCTCTATTGTTGATTATACAAAGGCAGCCCTCTCTCTCTCTTGTGCGCGAACGCGCGATCCCTCGGTGCAGTTTAATATTGAAAAAGCATGAGTGGCATTTGTTAAAAGTGAGGTTCCGATACATATATTCCAGAGGCTTCAGTCCGCGCAGCGATTGATGGACGTGCAGTTTTTCAAGCGAATCGAAAACAACTTGAATTAATTTTCTCTACCTCTCTCTCTTTACCTCTTTTATTTTGGATTCCCATTATAAATGAAGCGAAATCGAGAAGTAGAAAAAATAAATAAATACAAAAAAAAAAACACAACGGAAAAATGTTAAAAGCTTGGCAAAGCCATTATCTTATCAAATGCACATTCATAACGTACCGACGACGATACGTTAACGCGCGCACGAGTATAAGGATCGGCAAGTTGTTGTCTGGTTTCTGCGTGCGCGCCGTAAGCCGTCTTCATTTTTCAACACTTTGAAGCTTCTGAGTGCAGCGAGCGGCTGCTGCTGCTGCTGTATGCTCTTTTCTTCTCACTGTATGTATGTGCCTACGTGTGCGAATCGCGTGTGTATAGCTCAACTAAGGCACTCTTCTATCAAAGTTTTCCAAGAACAAGAAAAAAGAAAAGACATGCCGTGACGCGTCTTGTGTTCGCGCGAAGGTGTAAGTATAAACTCACCTTGTTTTTGTTGGTGTTTTTTTGCTCGCCGTTGCTTCGCGTTATTTCATTTTTCATCGCCCGCGTGTGCTCCGGTATTCGATTATTAAATCAATCCTCTTTTGGCTTTGGATGGAAAAATTTTGCCATGCGTTCGATTTTTAACGTCCGCAATAAATTTTTTTATAACGATCACGACGCGACGATGGTCACGATTTTGGAGTCTATTTCTGAGACGGTTTTACGATCGACCAGTCGACATGAGTGCGTCGACGGAAGCATAATTCGACTGCGACGACATTATCGTAATTAACATGGCGTTTTATTTTTACGCCGGCCTATTGGTTTTGTTGAGCGCTCAAAATTTAGTGGAAGGAATCATCGGCAACAACAGTAAATTTGATCCAATCTTACCATCAATTTTTCTATGCATACGTATTTTTTAATTTCTTTTTTTTTTCAACCAATAGTGTGTGTGAACCCATTTGTTGACGACTTCCTTGATCTCTGTCCAACTCCTCGTCACATACAAGAGAAAATCAAAGCTATTCAGCAGCAAGGACACGGCAGCACTTACGTACCGATTTACGTATTTGTCGACGATAAGTTCGAGTGCGAGCTGATATGGGTCCCAGAAAGACCCGATTTTGGATTTTGCCTAAAAGAAAATTGCGATCGTTTTTGTGCCAAAGCAAAATCTCCCTGGTAAGTCGATGATTTTTTGCAAAACCATATCTGCTTACTGAGAGTAAGTTATAACAATCTTTTGGGGCGTCGTAATTTTTAGGAGGAAAGCACTTGCAAAAGCTGAAAAAGAACTGATAAAAGAGGGAAAAATAAGACCAGCACAAGAAGCTATTAAAGATAAAAAGGCACAAAAAAGGAAGTTGAAGAAGCAACAAAAATTGCAGAACAGCCAGGACGCGAATTATTACGTTTATGATTTAGCAACAAAAAAATAAAGTGCCGATTGCCAATTAAATTTTAATAAATCACAAAAGCACGTGGACATTGATGAAGAAAGTACTACTATACTACGTCCAACGCAACCTCGACCACGCCACACCACACTGCACATAATCCAGTGCAGCGTCGCGTCTTTCTCTCTTTTCCTGCCTCCCAACAATTATAACGTCTCAGCTGCTCTCGAGTAGTTGCACACACACACGTCCCCTTGCTGGCAGCCTCTCATACATCCTCCTCTTTCTGTCTCTCTGAAATAAGGATCGAGAGGAAAGGAGAAAAGAGGCGCAAAAAATCGTATCACATAATTCCCACCGAATCTCTAAATCGCGTGACTTTGCAGCAGCAGCACACACACGTATTATAACTGCAGCTGCTGTTGCTGCGCGCAGCGCAGAACTACAACGCAACCTGTATATATACGGCTTCTTCGGCGTACATAACGCTCAAAGTGAGAAAATGTAGGATTAATCCCAAGTTCTTTTCCTTTCTGTCTCGTTCGTTGCTATATCTCTCTTTCTCTCTACCTATGTAAGCTACGTTATGTGTGCGAGTGTGTAATAGGCATATACGTTGCACAGACTCCGCTTCCGCGCCCGAGCGCAACGCGGATAATTGCTTCTCTCTCTCGCGTTATCGCAAGCATTTCTATATACGTTTCTGACGCGCAGCAGCAACGGCGGCAGCGGCACACAACTTGGCTCTATACTTCCTCGTTGCGCCCTTAGGCCTTTTAATGAATCTCTCCTCTCTCTCTCTTTCTCTTGTGGAGTTGCTGCTGTTGCTGCAGCTCTCCGAACGTTTTCTTCCATATGCTACGTAGCGCAGACTCTTGATGCTAACTTTTCTCTCTCTCTCTGTCTCGCTATCTCTCGCAGCAATGATGACGATGATCGCGCTCTATTTGCTATAATAGGATTGCCTTGTAGCGCGTAGCGCGTACCGCCGAGAGTCAAGTTTTCACGCGATGCGTCACACGTGCGTATTCGTCGAGTAGGTACTCGAGAAATTCCGTCGCAGTGCGCGTTTGTGTGCGTAGGTATGAAATAAAATAAAATTTTTTATTCAGTTTTGCAATAGTGCTACTACTCGGCGATAGGTCGACGACGTTAACATGACGAGGCTGAGAAAAATTCAGAAACGCGCTCGTTACACGGTCCGTACGCACGGAGAGACACTAATTTAGCAAATATTAGTAGAACAGTGTGATATGGAGGGGTTATGATTATTTTTGCTTAGTGCTATTAAAATATTTATAATATATGAATCGACACCTTACAAATATATATCCGAAATGAAATTTTACCGCTTGCGGATTGTCAATGCGACATCTAGTGAACTAGCTGACCATCAAATGAATCGTTGAAAAGATTACAGAGCACAACAAGCGGCTATACGCTTCTTTGAATCGCAATTTTTACCTTTAAACGCATGCCAACCTCACTGAAACGACTTATAATAGAAAACAATTCACATATTTCAAAATTTAATAATTGCTTGTGGTAATGAAATATGTTACGCACATCACATTAGTTATTATATTTTGTATTACATAATTGAGTGCGAAGTAATTATGTATGCTATTTTATTTTGTAGCAAATTTAATTAAAAATCTATTTTGAATATAAGAACATTTATTATAATTACAGCATTATTTTTCACTATGAGAAGATGTCTGATTATTCATGTTCACTATCGTAATAAATCATAGTTTTGATTTTAGCTTTTATTACACAAATTTCTCCAAGAACATACGCGAGCATGTTCATACTTTTCATGTAAATACGACGCGTGAAATTATACGCGTTGGCAATAAAAAAAAATAGACGAATCGATATAGGATACGAGACAGAGAGAAAGAAGAGAGAATAATATTAATGAAAACGACACGAGCTCCGTAGGTGTATAACGAGAAAACGTGCGTGTAATACAACGTTCTGAATGTCCGCACAGACCGCTACTAATACTACTACAACTAATACTACTACTTCTACCACTACCACTGCTATCTACCGCTCGAGCAATAATAATGAATATGATAAAAAAGACTCATCAAAGTTATTGAAATATATACGCGTATACTCGCAATGTGTGTATATATGCCGCGACTGGTTTTCCCGTATAACTTCGCGCGGAAAGGAGAAACGAGCGAGCGAAATGTGCTGCCGCGCGTGGTGTTACGCTACCAGATGCAATTCGATTTTTCGTTAAAAAGTAAATTAAACGCGGCGTCGGCGCGATATGGGTATGAAATACACCGTATTGAATCGAAGATATTCAATATATCGAGAGAGAGACTCGTGTATTATATGGGTTCGATCAAAATTCTTGGCCGAGCGAAGGAGAGAAGAAGTATAAGGACAGCAACAACAACAAAAAAAAGGGAGAAAAAAAAGGTCTGGCGCGTATGCGCGGATTTCGTGAGAGAAAGCTAATATTAAATGTACATGCAATATAGCATCCACATCCTGTCCTGTCTATACGTACTGTATACTGTATGTTATAAACGTATACGCTCTGTGTGTGTGCAGTGCGCTGACATTTGTACACAGCATAAAACTTGCGTTATATATGCGAATGCACGATCATCTTATTTTTTTACCTATACTTTTTTCTCTTCTTACATACTACTTTATTTTTTCCTGTCTGTTTTTTTGCACGAAACGTCTCCAATGTCGATTGGTTAAGTGTACCACTACTGGCAGCAGCGCAAACGTTTAGGAGAAAATTAATTCCGTCTCTCCGAGTTAGAGATGCTCTGAAAAGATATCGCAGTGCACATATAACTCGCGCGCATTTCTTCCATCGTCTATAGATGTGTTTATATTATACGTATCCCGCGCCTCGTCCAAAAACGAACGTATACGTATCCACGTGAAAGCTCAGCTGTACACGAGTTTTGACTTCAATACGGTCTATACGTATGCGCGAAATGGCTATACACAAGTTTTACTTTTTGTCATTGCGATTGCGGCGAATCTAAACGTACACGTATAATACAGCCCGTTTCAGAAAGTTATTAGATTCCAAGCCGCGATATAAGAAATTTGAACGCCGTTACTGCTGCTCGTCGTGTGCCGCGACGCGTCGACTCTCGGCGGCCGAGACCAAAAAGTCATTTGCAAACTTTCGTGTACACCCATTATGTGCGCGAAAAACGTGAAATTTGGTCACGCGAATATGTTTACGTATTTTAATGACCCGCACTTAAACTTGTGTGCATAAATGTTATATTGTATATGTCGCTCGACTCGCCACTGTAGCCTACGAGGCAGCTATAGAGGAAAAAGTTTTGCAACGCGACAGAAAACTTGAAATATATTATGTATACCAAACGATTTGACTGACAAGTGTGACTCGAGTCTGTTGCTGCTGCCGTTGCTGCGAGTGATATAGGCTAATCGACCGGAACGGCCCGTAACGAATTCATGATATAACAACGATATCGCCTCGGCGGCGGCGGCGGCTCGTGCCGTAGTTCATTTTTTTTTAAATATCAATCTAGCGTATCGTAAATATGAAATTCCATATGACTCGGAGAGAAAATTGCGCAATGGTGTGCTGCTAGATATACCATACTCGAACAATGGAGCAAGAGCTTTTCTTTTTTCTTCTTTTTTTTTGCGCAAAAAATTTTATATATTCGTGCACTCGACGCGCGCTCCGCTTTTGCATTGTATATTAATAGTTGCATATATTTATCGCGCGTATGCATTTTTTTCAATCGGGGCGCATAGAGAGAGAGAGACATAAAAGGCAGTTATGGAAAAATCGACGCGCGAGCAATATGTATAGCAATTTTCAACGCCTATATGATGTATGAATTATGCGGCCTATATGGGTGCGCGGAATATAAAGAGAGCGAAAGAGAATTGATCGTTGCCGCGCGCTTAATTAAGCGACATTTATTCCCCGGTTATACGGTTCGTGTGCGCAGTGCAGCAGCAGCAGCTTCGGCGTGGAATTCGGTCTAAAGAATCTTACGTATAAATACGCGCCAAGTATCGTTTCTCTTTTTTCCTCGAGTATAAATCTAAAAGTGCTTATACATAAACACACAAGCTCGCGGGCGAGACTCTGCTACGTATCCCATGTATGTATACGCGCGTGGGCTTTTAAAATGTTGTTAGCGCCGGAGCGCGGGGGTGGCGCGCGTTGCAAGTGACTCTGGTTTTTCTCTTTCTCTCCTTGTTGTCGTTCTTTTTTCTTCTTCTTACCCGTAACATTTATATATGTATATACGTTTGTATACGGTATTTATGTGTATACACTTGGTTAATTGCCCTTACACGAGGGAGAAGGAAAACTTTTTGTTTTAGCTAAATTTCATTCGAGATGGTCAAGTACACATACGTGCGCGCGCCCGGCCGCTTTCTTTTTCTCCTCTCTTCTTTTACTTTATTTTTTTTCATTTTTTATTTTTATTTTATTTTTTGTTCAAGAGTATACGTGCAGTTTGTTTCAAATTAGATGCGGACTTTAATGTATTTTATACACAGTGCGCGCGGCGCGATGTGCTTACTCTTGGCCCTGCCGCGCGTGCAAGCTCTTTTGCCTCGGCTCCGCGATCCCTGCGCAGAATACGTAGATTTAATTATCGTAGGGCAAAAATTAACATAAGAAATATTGCGTACGTTGCTGGAAATGAGGCACAAAGTGCGGTTTAATTTAATAGCCGTGCGCCGCCGTCGACGCGAAGTAAAAATTACCGCGCGCAAAAAGTGAAGAGAGAGATGAACAATTTAAACAAATATGTGTACACAGAGTCACGTGATAAATTTGAACTATTTCAATGCTCGTGATAAAATAAACAACGCATTCGGTTTTTTTATTTGAAAGTTCTTATGGGTTGATAGGGCTACTGTTATTCACGTTTACTGCACGTGTCTTTGAAATGGCTAGGAAGGTAAATTATTAAATGCGTGGAATAAAGTTTTACTTTTTACAGATGATCTTACATATTTTGTTGTTAAAAAAAAAATTTTATTTTTATATGAAAATATAAGAATCAATTCAATAATTCGTTTTTTATTGTA